GGCGGCGGGGTCCCGGCGGCGGGGTCCCGGCGGCGGGGTCCCGGCGGCGGGCGCGCCCGCAGCGGGAGCCGCGCGGACACCCGGCTCGGGAGGCAGCGGCGCTCCCGCTGGCGCCGCAAGCGCGGCTCTGGAGAAGCTGCCTTCGTTTATCCCGTGTTTTTGCCAGATGCGGCTAACCCGGCGGCAGGCGGCACCGCGCGGGTCGGGCGCACAGCAGCAGCCCCGCGCGTAGCGTTTTGTGCGTTACCAACGCGAAATCTCAGCTTGTGTGGGAATGTCAGGGTCTTTCCCGTGCTGTACGAGCTGTTCCATGACCGTGGCGAGGGGCTCCTTGGTCACCCCCATCCTGCGAGCGTGCGTCTTGTGAAAGAACAGGTTTATTCAGTAAATTTAGTGTCTTAGGGCTGCGTTTCTCTTCAGTATTTTCCACCCTGAACTGTTGTTTATGTTTAAGAGACATCTTGGAATCGCTCCTCATCTTCAGGAGGTTTTGAGCCACGTACATGCGCCTGATAAAACACAGCTTTGGGTCTGTCTTCAGCTGGTGCTAGCTAACCCAGCGTAGTCTGAGTGACTGCGTGCCAGAAAAGCTCTTGCAACTTGAAAGGAAAATATAGGACCCGTTCAGGGGATGATTTTAGTCATGTTTCCAGCGTTTTTTCCTTAAAATATATTGCTTGCTGAGGTGGCATCCAGCTAGGGTGGCTTTACATCACTGGGCTGGAGAAAAGCAGCTGTTTTACTCCGTGCACTTTTGTGCCTAGTCTTGAGTGTCAATCAAGCGACAGAGGAGAGCAGCAATAGGGACTGAAAGGCTCAGAAAAAAATGGGAAAAGGTGATGGGAAAAGGCTGAAGGCTGCGTGTGTGGGGGGCCTGTGTTCCTAAACATGTGCAAGTTCGTAAAAGGATATCACTAAAATAAACTTTTTTTTTAAATTCTCTGTGGTTAAGAGGAAATAACTTATATTGCAGTGCAGGAAATCTAGGTTAAATATTAACTGGGAAGTTTTTACCTATAAGATTGAAGTTTTAGAGGCGATTAAACAAATTCCTGTGATTGGAAGTTTTGCGGGTTAGCGAGGCTGGTGAAAGTAACTTAGAGAGCCCCTGGTTTTGCTCTTGCCGTGTTCCAGCAGGTGCTCGGGGCTTGCTTGTTTGCTTGTTAGATGGTGGCTACTGCTGTCTTCTTGTGTACACCCATGTAATGGCACTTCTAAAATGCCAGCGGTATATCTAACATTGTACAGTGCTGAAGGCATTTCGTCATGATGATGAAAATCAGATTAACAAAACTGTTTCCACCAAAGCATATGGCAAAGCTGTTTATTATCATTATTATTTTTCTTTCATTCTGTGTCTGTGCTTGCTCACTGCTTTCTTTGGTAGAAAGTTTTAAGAAATCTTCTTTTCCAAGCCCTCACAAGGCGCCTTCACGTTCAGTTTGGTCATTGACTCTTAAATTGCTCCGTAATTGCCTTCTTGTTTGAACATCTAAGTTAGCTAGACCGTTCGAGGGGTAGCACCAGAATGTAACCTTTTTCTGGAAGTTATTAGAGAATTTATACAGAGCGGAAATTCTCCAGTGAATTTCCACTCTGGAATTTCTTCATCTCACCGCTCAGTGTTGTGAGTGTGACTTGGAAGTACAGGGCTGGAGCAGGCAGAATTTCTAGTAAACTGTTCTTTTAGCTGCAACTTCTCAGCTGGTTTAAGGCTCTCGTGTCGGTGGCTGCAGGAGGGTTTTCCTCCCCGGGAGCTGATCCGCAGCGCGGATCCTGGTGCTCATCCCAGCTCATCCTGGCCCTTGGGCTGGGTGGAGTGAGTTCCTGCTTCGCACCCTTTCAGTCCCTGGTGTCCGCAAGCCCTGCTGGTTGCCTGAACTCATGGGGAAGGAAGGTGTCAGGAAGCGTGTCAGGAAGCGGGCGGCGGAGAAGCCTGTGGATTCCTCATCGGGCTCTTGCAAGAATCGCTTCAACCAGCAGCAGCTGAAGGAGCAGGGTGGGACTGGCCAGTGGGGTTAGAAGTGGGAGAAGGGGTGTCTGACCCTGGGATGGCAAGGTCCTCAGCTGTCCCAAACACCATGTCCCTGGAGGATCTTGGAAGCTGCTGCAGTATCAGGGGTTGGCATTTTGGGTGAGCGTGTGTGTTGTTTTTGGTTTTAAGCTAGAGTAATTCATTTTAAGGTCGCTGTTTGTGTGTGAGGCTTTGTGTATGCTGGAGTTGCCCAGAGCGTGCAGTGATCCTGCATGAGTATTTTTACCAGCACGGGTTGTAAAAGGTTGTGAGCTTTCTGTCACTGCTCTAACAAACTGATTTTTAAGGTTAGTAACTTCTTCAGTGTCAAAAGCTCCAAGTTCGTTTTGTTCTGTTATTTTCATTGGTAGGTCTGCAGTGGAGGATTTTATGACCTAGTCTTGCTATTTCTCTTGGGCTGACAGAAATCAGAGGCCTTCTGTCATGTAGTTCAAGAATGCCTCCGTGCAGAGTCATCAGCTCCTGCAATCTGGTTATTCGTTTCTCCTCTGTTCTCAGTTTCCTCAGATTTTATTTCTGAGTATGTGCTGTACTTTTGTTGATGAAGAGCAGGAAAGGTCCAACAAAGAAGCCTTGTGCAGCCGGGCTTTGGGCGCTCGATTGCTCAATCAGCAGCTGGTGGGTTGGCGTAACTGCCAGGTATGGGCAGAGCTGCAGTTGCCTCCATCAGGCAAAAACCTCCTGGAGGTTTTTGAAACGGAGATAAAATCAACAGCCAACCGGAAGGTTAGTCCTTTGCAGCTAGGGTTGATTCCTCACCAGTGGCACTGGAATCCCACTTGGAGATAACATTCCAAGAACTCATAATTTCCTTTGCCTGTAGTTGAGTGTTTCTACCTTGCAGGCTTTCAGGTGTTTTCATTGTAACTTTTAAGCGCCCTACATGTTCTTTGGTTCTGTGAACTCTTTTTCTTGTCCATTAGCTTCATTCTCCTGAAGACTTCTCTGGTCCCGCTGTTGCAAATTTACTTGGCTGCGGTCTCCCCTCTCTGTGCTCATCCCAGTCTGAAGTAGACCCTCTCTTAAAACCCTTTGATATCACACTACCCAGACATTCACTGGCTTAATGCCATCTCTCCATCCACAGGTTCCTGTGTTTTCCTTCAGCTCTCTGAAGGAATCTCTAGCGGGGGACCTCCCACCAGGCCCCAATGAGCTTCCCTGTGAAGATGCTACCACTGTGAAAAACATGTGAAATGTGTTTTGCTGGTTTCCCCTTTTTTCCTTCAAATTTGTTTAAACAATTTGTTGGCCTTTTAATTGATCATAACTTGTGTGTTGTGATTGATGTGCTCTCTGTATTTCATATTTATGTTCTCCATCAGTGCTAAGAAAGAGGAGCATATTGAAAAAGTCATTGGTGCTAGGCTGTTAGATCCTATCTGTCAAAGTAGCTTTTCAAAATACAGGAATTTGGGATGTTTGTCTTGACCACGTATGGTATGTGTTAAGAGGAAATAATCACTATGTATGTTGTCCTAAAATAAGCGTGTATACATTTTCCAAAGGTGAATTTCAAGTTATTACATAAGCTGCTGCTGTTTTTTCTTTTAGATGTATTACTAAGTCTCTCACGTTACTATGGAAACTATCTTTGCATATCTGAAAGGGGGAGTGGGTGAATAAAGTGAAGATGCATAGTTATAATGTTGAAGTGCCAGAGATGCCACATGATTTCGTATTATAAAAAATGAGTTTGACTTCTGTAAAAACTGCAAACTTAACTGAGAAGAATCACATATTTCTTTCTGTATTTTTTTTTTCTTCTGGACCTTGCTCCTTTTCCTTCAAATCCCAGAAGCGTGGCATTTTTCAGAGGCCTATTAAAGGAATTCTTAAATCTGTTTAATGAAAAGTACTCTGGAGTTTTAACTAAAATCTTTATTTGAAATCGAAGATAATGTTCTTGGCAGAACAGTTAAGAATTTGAGTTAACAGAACCCATTAACAGGACTGACTCACTTGAGTCAACAGAATTTGAGCGAACAGTTAAGAACCACTTTTTGTAATCTCATTCTTGTGGTCTTTAGTAAGGAATTTTAAGTATATCAGGAGGATATTTCCTCATACGTAGGCGTTATATCCCTGTAAGTGACTCGTGCTTCTCTGGTGATGGCAGGTGTGGAGGGAAGGGGGATCCGTCCCTGCCTATTGCTGCTGTTGCCCAGCGCCCCACACCTCCTGTGCGCTGGGTGCTGCGTGGGGCTGCCCGTGCCCGGTGAAGCCTTTTCAGCTTCTGCAATGTATAGCTCAGAACTTATAGGAATGCAAACCCAGCCTTGATCTGCTCGCTCTAGGCCAAGCTGTCTGCTTCCTACCCTTTTCTTTGCCACCACTTAAGGTTTAGGAACTGTCAGGGGCCAAGCCCTTGGACTGTTTCCAGTAAGAACTTTAATTCCTGATTTTGTGTATAGCGTGTTTCTGCAGTTAACTGCTTGAAATACTTTCTGCTAATCACTTGGCCTCCAAAACTAGGGTGGACATTGAACAGTAGCGTTTCTGAAAATATTTAAAGCTATGTTTTTAAAAAAGTAAGACATTAAAGCTTTTATCAAGTTAAAAAAATAAGGAACCTGATTTGGACTTCTAGAATGTGAACTTACCCTTTAAACTGGAGATTTTTCCCCCTTGAAGGGGTGGTATGGTGGCTTTGTGGCTCTGGGTTAGTACAGATGACAGGAGCTGGCAGTACGGGACTGCTGAGCACATGTAGTTGTGCCGAACAGGAAGGAATACCTATGATTGAACTACATGAGGAGATGGTGTGAATTGAATTAATAAAAAAAAAAAAAAAAAAAAAAAGAGTTCTTTGCAAGTTAGATGTGCTGTTTAGAAAGGAAACTTTCACACAAACATTATTTTTCTGAAAGGAAACTGTCATGCAAACATTTTCTATTTATATCACATAATTCTGCCAAACTACCATTCAGATTTGTCCTCGGTCGCTCCTGAACATTTCCTGGGGGGAGGTTCCCCCCTGCCCTACGACTGTGGTAGTAATTGTGGTAGCCAGTGATAACTGGCTGGCTCGGGGACTATTTCTTTTTTGACTTCTACTTTACGCTCTCTGTTTATGCACACAAATATCTTCAGTAAGATTTGCTAGGAAATTGTCAATATGGTTTGGGTTCATCTGAAGAAATTCTGTAGCTCTGAGTAAGGGATTTTACTTGAAACAGCAGTGAATTTCTTCTCTTCTGCTGTCATCTACTGTTCAAATAGATGATTTCTCCATTTCTGTGCCTAAACCTAGAACAATTAACAAGAGCACATTTTATATATTTTTTTCTCTCTAACTATAGTGAACTTGGTCGTTAGATTACATATCAAAGCTTTTTTTTTCTCCCCTCCTCCCCCATTTGATTTGCCTCTCAGTATTTTTGGTTACAGAACAAGCAAGAAACACTTTGCTGCTAACAAATAAACAAAACCACCCAAAGCACGTGATGCATGATTTTGAAATACATACTAAACCCGGGCACCCTGAGTAGGAGACTTCCCTCTATGGGACATTTTTTTTTTTAATGGATTGCTACATATAGATAGTTGCAAGATAATATATTCTTCTAATGTTACATATAGGAACTCTACAAGAAACATTATTGGTTTAAGCAGTTGTTTTTGTCCTAGTGCTTCACATGGCTTATTGTTACATAATACCATGCAGCTCAGTACTTATACCACCATGTAGCAAGGTGAAGTCCCTTTCTATTTGCCGTTTTTAGTTGCAAATGCCTTAGCTACCCAGGGAAATGCAAATGTTCTTAACCTTCTCTTTTTCTTTGAAAGTCTTCGTTTTGCTGGTGCTGTTTCAGAGCGTAGAGGTTTCAGTCTCTTTCTTGTTCATATTCTCTGGTTTCTTCTACTAACCCACAGTCGCTGTAGCCATAAGGGTGTCACAGGTAGCTGGGAAGCAGATCCGTTGGAGCAAAGTGTGGGCAAGAGTGAAATGGATTCGGTTGTGGTCACTTCAGTTCACTGCATAAGGACACCTGCAGGAACATAAGTTTTTGCTTGTTTAATGAAATCCCTATTTAAGTGTTTTTTTTTTTTTTTTTTTAACTTGTCCGAGGGTGTTTGTTTTTGATTTTCTGTAGGGTAGTGTTTAAAGCCTTTTAGTCTCAGAAATGTTTATTAACGCAGGATAATAAATACATATGTCCCATTCTGATTCCTCTGTAGATACGCGCCAGCTCGAAAGAGAACCCGCCTGAGCTCCAAGTGCATCCAACTGCCTACTTACTTTTAAATAGCGTGGTTGTAAAGGAATCCAAATCAAACTGGTTTGTTTGCTTTATTAAGTCAACTTCTTTCCTAAGAAATTATACATCTGCAATTCCTGTCTCTTTTTTGGTCACAGAAGCCCTCAGACAATTGTTTTACATTGTTCCAGGACTGTTTATTTGTATTATCCTTTGCACAGTAGTCAGGGTTCATATTTCTCTTGATTCTGGAGAAGAGTAAGAGGTAAAATGCAACTTCCTCATTCCAACAGAATGGAGCTGTATACACAGCCTTGCCTGGGATCAGGCCCACACCGATTGCTCTTTCCTTACAAAAGAGTAATTAAAAAAACACAGATAAAATTATTTTAGTGGGAAGGTACATGATGTATTTTTTCTGTATAGAAATATTTGAAATGAGGCAGATCAGCAGGTGTTTTCCCTTCAAATATTATTTTTGGTTTGGGACAAAAAGAGTAGGATTAGTAATGTGGAAAGAATAAGTGTAAGATGCCTCAAGGAGAATATCGTAAAATTGTTGTATGTACGTTAACATTTATCTGATAAGTTTGTAAGAAGGGTTGTTGTGTGGGTGATTTTAGCCTTGAGTATTGGCAGAGTTCTTGCTAGCAGGGATTCTCTTCGTAAGCTGGGCTTATTGACCCGCTTTTCTTCTATTTATTTCTGCTGGCTTGCAATCTTCTAAATGGTATCTGGAAGGTGAAATTTCTGCCAAAAGTTAGTAAAATTACAATTACTTTTTTTATTTTTAGTTTTGTACGTCCAAAATACTAAAATACTTTGACAGCAGCAAATTAACAAATTAACATTCTTGCAGCAGCCAAAGCCCAAGACAACCATTTGATATCTTGTCCAAATTACAGCTTTTATTCTATAAATGTAAAAGTAGTAGCTGATTAATCAGATGAATAGCCTTTGTTGGAGTTTTAATTATACAAATATTATAGATAAATATTTTAATTCTGATTCCTGTACTGTCATTGTATTTCCTGGTGTATGAGTGTTTTGAGAAGTCTTTACTCTGTTATTTTTATTAGTGGATACCTGGTAGGGAATATATTTTCTTAATGTTTGCATGTGCTCCTGTTGCTGACATGAGCAACATGGTATAGGCTGCCTTTGTCTTTCCTAGAGGGGTAGGTGTGGGTGTTGACTCAAATTCTTACATTTTTTCAGGTGTTATGGTTAGTGCTAATGCCGTGGCTTTCCTAAATACACCTGTGCAGAGGTTGCAAGTGCCCTGCTACGTTTGCATCCATTGTGATGGGCCTTTGGCTCTCGCCATGGTTGCCTGTTTCACGAAATATCCGCACCCGATGCTACCAGGCTTCCTGTTTATGAACAAAAAGTGAAAATGGCTCTTGGACCTGTCTCAAGCTTTTACTAAACGTGGATTACTTCAAATTAAATGTTCTTGTTCATTGGCTTGTTAAACAGGTGAAACCACCTTTTGTTTTCCCTGCTTGTTTTTGGTGTTTTCTGTCCCTTGTTTGAAATTGAGATGGTATTTAGCTGCAGTTAAGAAAATGAGTGCCATTTTTCCCTAGCGTGAAAGAATTTAGGATAATTGTATATGCTTAGATATCTGATGTTTTTTTCTCTCCTCTGTCAGAGCTTGCCCTTTGTTTTTGCCGGGGCACTGCAGCCCGCGGGCTGGGCTGCAGCTGGCCCCGGCCGCTGTGCAGCGCTCGCAGTTGTTTCCGGAGGAAGGCGGGAAGCGCCGCTCGCCATGGGCAGGAGCGCGCGGAACGCCCTGCTCCCCCGCTCCTCATCCCGGCAGCACTTCCTCGGGGGCCTTGCTGGCGAGTCCAGCGCGGGAGCAGAAGGGAGCGCCCAGTCGCAGCAGCGCTCGCTGCTTCCCACGGTGGGAATTTCCCGCTTTCCTGGCTGCTCATCCTGCAGGGCCCTTGCTGTTATTCTGCCCTCTGAGAATACCAGTCAGGGGCTGCTGTTGGTGACCACGCGCACCTCGATGTGTGCACAGTGCCCTGCCTCACCCCTCTGATTTTCATTTGGTGTTTGCAGCACCGCTGAGGTAGCTGGGTCCAGCACTTAAACACGTTGTTACTTGATCCAAACTTTTAAGGATGGGATTTGGTGTGTCTGTCTTGAGTCGCATCACAGATGTGCCTCAAAAGCAAGAGATCCAGAATCCTTTTCCAACGTGGTACGGGAAGTAAATGCCTCTGACCACGAGGCTGGAAGCTGTTTGCATGGGTGGATCTCGCCATAGACCCTATTTGCTGTGTCCCTTTTCCCTTGAGTGTAGAGATCCTGAATGCTTACATCAGTATAGGCAAAAAAAAGTTTTGTTCCTGTATTTATACATTTTTTTGTAGAAGTGCTTAAACATCTTCCTAGTATCTAAGCCTAAATGCTTTTTATTTGGATCATGCATCTTTCAGTTTTTTTTTTTTTAGTTTCTGAATGCTGAAGAGTTAGAAATTACTGTTCATGTAGGGTATTTTGATATTAATTTGATACTTACATTCACAAGGCTTCTAAAAAGCACTTGAGTCTTGTTTCCTCCGTCATTTAGCTTTAAAATGTTACAGGATTAGGTTTCGGCCAATCAGTAATACAAGCTAGGAAGCTATAATTAATACCTTACTCGGGGGAAGGGGAAGTGGTGTTAACTCCTTCTCCCCATCTTTGATATCCTTGTTAGCCATAATTTATTACTTTCAGAATGTGTGAGGCTTCTTAGTACATGACTTATTTAAATAGACAAGATGCTTGGAGATCTGTGCTCGAAGTTCTTTTAGATTTTGATCTCTTTTACAGATTTGCTTTCATCTGAATGGCTGGATTGCAGTGTAAGGACACGAATATTTTTAGGATGTAGTACAAATTTGGGAATATGTTTTTGTAGAGTTAAAAAGAAAAATCCTTAACTGTTAGTTGGGGAGTATTGTTTCCTTTATCTTGCCTTGCTTCTCTCACCTGACCAAATATTGTGCTCTGTGTCCTGTGTCCCACAAACTTCTTTGTGGGATGTCTCACCTCATTTGATTCCCTGTGTCAAGGCACATTTGCACATGATTCATGTTAGCTAAACTGGGGTCTTTCTTCCCATTTAAGAACAGAGAAGGAACAGAAATAAGCTACATATACTCACTTTCTGCTGTACTCTTGATGTCTGTGTTTTGGGCAACTCTGAGGCCACCAGTGCATAACTGAAAATGCCTTGTAGAGCAACCTCCAGGTTTTGTTGGGCCTCTTCTTGTGAATACTAGGTGGACAGCTGATTTTAGAGACATCTCTGTATGTTCATAATGAGTACATGAAGTAAAGACTGTTTCCATCAGTTGAGTGGAAACTCTTTCCAGAAATGGTTTAGATCAGCAGATAAGACCCGAAGCCCAGCTCAGAGAAGAGGAAAGAACAATCCCACCTCTGCATTCATTGCACCTGGGAGCAAGTAACACTTTGTGCCTCAGCAGAGCGTTGTGCTGAACTGGAAATGGGGATATTCTCGCCCACAGTCGCTCAGCATTGTGCAGCCGTGGCTGGCTTAGTCACTGCTGCTCTGCCGCCTCTGCACCTGCGAGCAAGCGCAGCACCAACGTGGCTCTCATCGGTCGTGTGTGCTTGGATGAGTTATGGGCAGTCTTGATTTCTGTTCTGCTCGTGTGAGTTGGTCTTTGAAAGATGTCTACATTTCAGCCAGTTGTTGGTGACCTAAAATCCATGGCTTGCTAGGAGGCTGCAGCTCTCTGTTTGAGGATCTATCAGTAGCCATTGGGAATACCTGGTGGGATCTGCCTGCGTTTCTCTGCTCTGCTTGGGCTAAGATTGGAGCCTGCCTAGATCTTTTAGCTACAATGTCTGTTCTGTCAGACTAGTCCAAGCTGCAATAAAACAGCATTTAGTAATTTCTCTACTCCTGAGTACAACTGCATGGCTTTCCTGTAATTAGGAAGTACAGGAATCTGTAGGCTAGCATCTTATATATAAAATAATTGTCTGTAAAGAAGAGATGATTTGTCTAGTGTTGAATAGTCTAATAATTGTTTTAAGGATTTTTTTTCCCAGTCAGAACTGTGGATTTGTATGTTTATCCAATGTCATCTTCCTTTTTGGCCATGTTTGTTACTTCTCGCCTTAATGTTTAGTGTAACTTGCTCAGTGGCACATTTAGAAAAGGAAAAAAATTCATGCAGCTCAACCTGGTTTAGCTGTTTAGTTCAGATAAGGGGTGAATGATTTTAAGGGGAGCATCAGAGAAATAGTTAGCCCTTATGCTCTTAAATATAAGATGAGTTCATTTAGATGAGTTAAGGCAAGATTTACCTGATTTACTCTGTGTGGTTTCTGCTCAGTTAATGGACACCCTTGAAAATTCTGTGCGTTTATTTTGCCTGTTTCTCGCGTTTCAAGTTGGCTGCTTCAGTCAGTGCTGTGAATGATGCAGCCTTTAGTTGAATGCAAAAGAGCTTTACACGTGTTGGTACAGCAGGTGCTTCTCTGACCTGGGGTCTTGTGCACAGTGGTACTAGCAAGCAACGGGAGTGAAATGCTTGTCCATAACCAAAGTAGCACGTGAGCTCCCAGCACAAGGTGAGTCAAAACCATCTTCCCCATGGACTCGATCTTGAAGGTCTCTTCCAACCACAATGACTCTAGGATTCTCTCTGTGCATCTGCTTGGCTTAAAGTATGCTTAATGTATATTGCTTCAACCACCAACTGTTATTGCTGAACCAGGTGGTAGAAAGAGTGGTAGCAATAGGAAAATTAGAGAGATTCAGGAGAGGTTGCTGGTACCTCCTCGTGAAGATGCAGCAGAAGTTGGCTGCTGGTGTGCCTGGATGGTGAAGCATGGGTAGAGAGGTTAGATAAAGGTGGCTGGTGAAACGTGGGGTGGACCAGGGAAAGCCCTGTTGCGGGAGGGTGGCACATGCGGGAGCGGTGACCAGCACGCACCGCTGTGTCTGTCGGGAGCGGGTGGGAAAGCTCTGTGGCGTCGGGCGGCTGCGGTCCCTGGGATCGTGGCGGCGGTGACAGCGTCTGTGAGGGCACTGAGTGGGTGATGTACCCAGTCCCAGCGATGCTGAGAGGCGCTGCTGCTTTAAATAACCACTTCCCCAGCGCTTTGTGTGTGCCTCTGCAGGTATGCAGGTGTGTACTTTTTATATAATAAATAAATAAAACCTTGTTTAAAAAGCAAGTGGAAAACAAACTAGAAATTTTAAATAAAACCCAAACTAAAGTTTTGTGTTTGTTTAAACAAAAAGCATGATTATTGTGAAAGTTTCCACTCTGAATTGCTTGGTGCCATAGTGTTTTATTCATTTCGCTTGTTTGTGGTGCACTATCTTACATATTTTAATTATGTGGCTAATTCGGATTATTCGCTAATTCATTGGTTAAGCTTGTTTTGGTTTTAGGGTTGCTAGGTAATGGGTTGAAAAAATACTAAAAGAATTTGGAGTCTTAGTTGAATTTGAATGAGAGAACTGTCCAGAAACAAGTGCTACTGAAATGCAGTAGCAAGAAATTAAGGGCTGGCTTTGGTTTTCTGCATGGTGTTGGGCCTTACTCATGAAGGCCTGACCACTTTTGAAGACTTGGATAGCAGCCAAGGAGCATGTGTGGCCTCCTGTTAATTAAAATGTTGCAAAAGATGTTGGAATCGGATTTTGAATGTGACTGTAATCTTTGCAGATCTCTCTAGTATTTTGTACCAAGTGATTTCAGAGAACGTGTGTAGTGTTTTGCTTTCGAAAAGGGCAAGCTTCTTTGCATCTTTACAGAGCATCTATCATTGCCATCTGTTGTGCAGAACTGTCTTACTGACACTTCCCTGAGTGAAATTGTGCTGAGTGGAGAAGGGGAAATGTGCGTCGAGATTCAGTTCTTGTGGTGCTGTTATTAAAACACCGGTGTGTGCTTCTCTAAGAGAAGAATCATTATACCATCCACAGCATTGTAATCCCAAAATACATGGGAACTCTCCAAAATTATTGGAATTGTAGTTGGTGGTGGTTTGGTTTTTTTTTCCTCTTCCTTTCTCCCCCAGGAGATGTTCTCTTCCAAGGGAAAACTGAATCTATTACTCCTTTACAAACTCTATTTTTAGACATATCCTTGTATATGATCATCCTTGCCCAATTTAACCAAAACTAGCTCATGAAAATCTTGCTCAAGAACATAGACGTTATCTTACAAAATCATCAGCAGCTTATCTCATATCTTGAAGTCACCATCTGCGCGGGGCTCCTCCAGAAGAAGACACTGTGGGAGGTTTCGCCTACAGGTCCCGCACGCGTGGCACTTCAGGAGGCCTCAGCCCAACACAGGGCCCTTTCTGCTTGGCCTGTGCCCTGAGGCCTACACCTTCCAGACTGCTTGATTTTCACCAGCCCAGTGTAAACACAGTTTTATGTGGATTTCCCTTTGAAAAGAGCTTGTCATCTTGGGTGTGGTGGTGATCAGTAGAAGTTGTCGTCATAGCAGAATATACTGTGCAAAGGTAACTTGTCTTTTTCTTTAGCCACAACTTTTCAATATACTACAAGGGGAAAGGTAGTACTTATTTTCCCTTTACTTTATTTGTTCCTGTAACTTTTTCTCTATGACTTGCCTTTTTTTGTTGCCCTTCAAAACTCTGCCTGCTCCTTTTCGAGATGCATTCAAGGAGAGGATATATAATTACTCCTATGTGTTGTTTTTGCTGACTAGTAACTTTAATGAGCGCTCATTGAACAAATGACTTAAATTAGCAGCGATCTGCAGTATTTCTGGTGAGAAACTGCTAAAACCCATTGCGGAATGTGCAGCTCCCTCGGGTGACTTGCATCCCAGCGAGCAGGGGCAGCACTGCTTCATGCTGGGCACCAGCCACGATTGCCTTGAAATCATCAGGTGACCTTTGCTGCTGATGTGCTTTGCTGTGTCAAACCAGAGCCCTTCAGGAAGGAAGAAGATTCTTTTGC